TTCTATCACAGATCATTTTCCAGTAATGATGGCTAAAAAACTGTTAGGTAAACCCAAGACAGAACCAGTTGTAACCACCTATAATAAACTAAATTTAAATATTTTTATTAGTCATATTCAAAATACAAATTGGGATAATATTTTAAATTCTCAAAATCCTGAAACAGCTTCCTCTTTATTTTTCCAACAGTATGAAACACATATAAAAGAGTCTACAAAAATAATTAAATTTAAAACAAAGAATAAGAAGAAACCTTGGATTACGGTAGGATTAGTAACATCTATCAAAAATAGAGACCGATTATTTCGTAGGCATTTATCTAATCCCAGTAATAAAAATATAAAAAATGAATATATATCATATAGAAATATCTTAAACAAACAGATAAAAAAGGCAAAAAGTACGTATTTTAAAAATGAAGTGCTAAAAAATCAAAAATCTCCCAAACATCTTTGGAAAGTAGTTAATGATTACACAAATAATTATAAAACTAAAAACGATCTGATACAAAAAATTGTGGTAGAAAATGGTTTAGAAATTACTAAACCTTCTGATATAGCTGATTCTTTTAATGAATATTTCTCAAACATTGGTGTTAAATTGGCATCAAAAATTAATAAAATAAGTTGTAATTATCATTCTCCCAATTTTCAAAGGTCTTTCTTTCTAAAACCCACTACTGAAAAAGAAATTATTAGTACTTGCTTATCTTTACAAAACAATAAATCTCCTGGTCCTGATGGTATAACAAATGAAACACTCAAAGTAACCATTGAATATATTGCTAAACCTCTAACCCATATATTTAATTTATGTTTTCAAAATGGATTTGTCCCTAAACAATTTAAAATTGCCCATATCAAACCGTTATTTAAAGGAGGCGAAAAAACGGAAATTAATAATTATCGGCCGATTTCACTTACATCGGGTTTTTCTAACATATTTGAAAAAATTGTCAAAACTCGATTATCTGATTACCTAGAACAAAAAAATATTCTTTCAAAAAATCAGTTTGGTTTTAGGAAAAAAATGGGAACGGAAGATGCTATAGCCCAACTTACTTCAGAAATATACAAAGCAACAGATAATAAAAAATCATGCATGGGTGTATTTATAGATCTACAAAAAGCTTGACACAGTAAGTCACAAATTATTAATTGACAAAATGGAACATCTTGGTATCAGAGATACTCCTCTAACACTCTTTAGAAATTTTTTAATGAACAGATATCAGCGTGTTAAAATTAATGAATCACTTAGTGGATTAAGAACAGTGTCTTGCGGAGTTCCACAAGGCACCGTTCTTGGACCTATCCTTTTTATTATATATTTAAATGACCTATTTGCTATTGAAACTTCAAGTCATATAATCTCTTTTGCTGATGATACGGTCCTTCTTTGCTGTGGAAAAAATTCGGAGTTAGTCAAAAACAAAATTGAGGAAGATCTGAAAAAAGTAAAAAAATGGTTTCAATCGAATTTGTTAACCCTAAATATTCAAAAAACTAAAGTCATTCCCTTCTGTACTAATGAAAGTACTCTTCTTAATTATAGAAGTATTACTTTGGAAAAGGACGAAATCCTTTATTTTTCAAAACACGTAAAATACCTTGGCATTCTTGTTGATACCTTCCTTAGATGGGATGCTCACGCGGATAGTCTGAAAAAGAAAATGCGTTCGTTAATTTACAAATTTTATCAATGCCGCCATATACTTACCTTAGATAAAATGAAGATAATTTATTTTGCTCTTGTAGAATCATTGCTAAATTATGGAATAATTGGTTGGGGTGGTTTAAGAAAAAAATTTATGAAACCTATAGAGATAGTTCAAAAAATTTTTTTAAAAATAATGTCTTTTAAACCACAACGGTTTAGTTCTAACCAATTATTTCACGATATGCAAATTTTAGATATAAGAAGATTATTTGTCAACACATCTCTGACTTTTGCAATAAAACATAATATTGTTACATCCACAATAATTGATCACAATTATTTGACAAGATCAAATCTAGCAAATAATGTTTACTTACCTAGAGTGAATAAAGTCTTAGGTCAAAGATGTCACACTTATGTTATACCAAGATTATATAATAAGCTACCGCAAGAGCTGAGACAGATTAAAGACTTTAGAAGAGTAAAACACAAGTTAAAACAATGGATCCTTCATGAAAATTTTGATGATATAATCGAATAAAAAAAAAAATTATTTCTCAACAAATGTTTATCTATTTGTCTTTTTTTTACTGTTTTTACTATTTTTACTATTTTTACTTTTTTTTACTTTTTTTTTACTTTCTTACTCTTCTTACGTTTCTTACTTTTTACTATATTAGATTAGTTTTTAAGCTATAAATGTACTTACCTTTTAATATGTTTTTTAACAGTACTCTTTTTGTTTACATTTTTTACATGTGTTAAGAAATATTGCTAAGATTAAATTATAAAAATTATTTTAATAAACGGCTATACCATAGACAGGCCTGATGGGCCTAAATGGATTACCTTGTTTATTACTTGAGTTCATAAATTTAATCTATTTTTTCTCTTTGTAATTTTATAACTTTATTTTGTAATAAACAATTTATTATTATTATTTATTATTATTATTATTATCAGAATTTTTTTTAACTTTATGGCTAGTTCGTAGTGATGAACCTAAAAAAAAATATGTTTTGAATTTCACTCGCCAGAGTCAGTCTTTAAAACACCGTTCATACCTGTTTGAGGTGCTGTTTTTTTTACTAATTTATTGGGAATTTACATGTTAATTTGCACATCTTCAACAGCTTTTGTTATTACTTTGAGCATTTTAGACCTTTTTCCTATTTTGAACAAGTATTTGTTTATGACGACAAAAAAGAATCACATTCCATTTATTCACCTGGAAAACGTTCCTCAAATTTTCGAATAATTTTGTTCCAGTATAACATTACCTACAATAAATTATATAGTCATTAACTTTTACGAGTTACAGTAAATAAATTTGTACTTACCAACAAAAAAGAATTAAGCCACCAATATTCTCTAAAAATAACTAATTGCTTTATTAATATTAAATGAAAAATGGACTAAGGGTGTTTATAAAATGTAAACAAATATATTGTCAGTCCCCAAATGAACGCCAGTGACATTTCTGACAGGATTGACAGTTCAGTTTAGTTCCTTTTACGTCAAATCAGGCCCTTTCGATGGGTTTTTGATGGTTATCAGATCACGTGGGTTTCGGGTATTGTTGAAGACCTGGTATTTAATTATTACACTGAATATTAAAAATCAATGAAGGATGTTACGAAAAATGCGCGTTGTTTGGGGTAAATGTATTAATAAAAATCTAAATAACAATGTTCTAAATAATAACACGAAAATATTCAATTTTAGTTTGGCATTTATCCTATGTTTACGGGATCAACAAAAATTTAAGAAATATATTACTAAAATTTATTATAAACGCCAATTGTTTGTTTTATTTAATTGTACCATAAACGTTGAAATGGTAATCTTAATAAAGTCTCATCTATTTACTAGTTAAAATTAATATAAATTTATTCAGCTTTTCACTTTTTTAATAAAGTATTTTCGTACAGATTTTATATTTTTTACATTTTCTTAGTATATATTAATATTTGACCCCAAGTTTTAAGCCAAATCTTAACATTTTCCACTATAGAATTTTCAGGTAAAATATAACCTTTTCTTTTTGAATACGTAAACAATAATTTAATCTGCCAACGCCCACTTGGAACTGTTTAAATTTTACCATTTATGTGAGTATTTAAATATCAATTTAGTTTTTTTGAGGTGTAACTGATCCATTTATTCAAAAAATAGTCAATCAAAATTATAAATTATTCACATGCCTTGAGTTATTACATTACTTTCATGACTTACAAAGGGCCTCCAAAAAGCCATTTTTTTATAAACCGAAAATCCAAACAAAATCACAGAATTACTATTGGATATTCCAGTCCATGTTGACCGGCTTTTCTTACAGGTTATCTTAGGCTACAGCAAATAGAAATTTGAGGAAGGCTCGATTCGACCAATAGGAGACGCTAAAATTAAGCTGTTATAATTAATCGAGATGACAGATTCTAACAGGGTTATGATGGACAAGTTATGTTATTTTTAACAGACACGTTATTTGTGAACAGGTTGTTATTTCTGTGTGTTTATAAAATAACAGACTTGTTAAAAATAACACAGGTTGTCAATCATAACCCCTTAATCATACAGCAATGCTAGACATAAAATATTTATTTGACCCTCGCATATTTGCTCGAAGGGTACTAAGCGTTTAACGTACACAGTCGTTTAGCTGTAATAGAATTGATTGCATCACTTTGTCTTTGCAATTTGACAACTGTGTTTTCTAAACTAAACGTCAGCGGTGTCTTTGTAAATTATGTATAGATATATTAATAATACTGATATTTAATTGTGGAATATTAAAATTTATCTGTGCCGTCTACTATATTTAAAACCTTTTGAGTAAGTCAAGTGATTGTGTTAATAACAAAGCAAGGCATTGTGCGGTTTTGTAATATTGAAAAAAAAAATGTTTTATTTAAAACACTTTCCTAGTAACACACAATTATTATAAAGAAACTACAAAAGGTTAATGGATGTGTGCACATAGTTTAGGTCAGCAAAAATAAAATTAAAATAAAAAAGTAAAGCGCTTTCGGCATTACGCCATCTTCAGTACTTATTGTCCATAAAAAGTTGTTCACCAAAATTTTTACTTGAAAAATTCTTTTTGATTTCTCACACCCTTTATTTAATTCCAAAAATGTATATATTTCTTAAATCCTTGTACTGCTTTTTATTTTACAAAACAGAACTATACAGGTAGATAAAATGTTTATACTTTCTTAACGATATTTCTTTACAAAAATAAGAACAGAACAAAACATGTGGTAACTCAATATGATAATGCACTTAACAAACACCTACCACTCTATCTCAAAGTCTGTATGTTTCTTTTTGTTTACAGAAACTGTATCGCTTCATCAACTGTGTGGAATTAGTTTCACCCCATCACGCAGCCCGAGAATTAGTCCACACCATTAGACAAGGACAGATAACCAGCCTGTTCCAGAAAAGCATCAAAAGGGTTCGTATCGGATCGTTTTCTTTATTTTCGCTTATACAGAAAAACACACTCCTGCCGTTTGATGCCTCGCCTTCGCCTCTTTCTCGGTCGCGACAGGGCCAGCCCAATGTCGTAAAACAACGTAAAACATTCTTTTTTTTGCATTCTAATAACGTTATATACCGGTCAAATAATGGGGGGAAGATTTATTTAAAGATAGTAAAAATGTTTAGCTCCTGTTTATAGCATTTAATATTGACAGATTCTTTTAAAGGAAAAAAATATTGAAATTGCACTTGCACAATAGTGTCCCGTATTGTAGTTGTTTTTAAATGAGTAGAGGTAATAGCACAGCTTATACAATACAGCTAAAACACTCTCTTGGCGGCAACGGTTTGCGTCGATTTCGTCGCGCATCGCTTAAGCTCCGCCTTCGAAGGGAAAAGACGGTTTTGGCGTTCAGAATCGTACTTAGGTAAGTTGTTGAGTCGTGCGTATAATTTTGTTGATTGTATAATTTCGTAAAGCCTATAATTTCGTTGATTTTGTTTGAGTTTTTTTTTTTTTTTTTTTTGGCATCGACTGTAAGCCATTTGCCACACACTCAAAACGGTATTTTTTTTTTTTATTAGATTATCATGTGGGTATGATACAAGTAATAATCTAGATCATGATATTATTTTCATTGACAAATTCTAATATTATATCATAAATATTTTTATTAAAAGTTGCGAGTAAAGTAGTAATATTGAGAGGTGGATTGATATTAAATTTATTTAACTTAAATAATAGTTTGTTATTATTATATTTGCCACATTGAAAAAATATATGATTTAGATCAGCAGTTTCCCCATCCGCTTCACAGTATGGGGTTTCTAATATACCTATTTTATTCAGATGAGCTGGAAAACAACCGTGATTGATTTTCATTCTAGAAATTGTGGTGCTATAGTGTTTGGTAACTTTGTATTCGAAAATATGTGGTACTTTTTTTGGGAGTTCTTCGTGGAGAAAAAAATAGGGGTTTTTGGAATTAGAGGCTACTTCTTTCCACCATAACATCCATTGTTCGAACATTTCATTTTTATAAAAGTTGCTGAGGTCTTGGTATATTGGAGTCTGTATATAGTTATCTGATATTCTGGCTTCTTTAGCAGCTACATCCACCTTTTCATTGCCTTGTATCCCCGAATGTCCCTTAACCCAGACAAAGTTAACATGATGCCCTTCGCGAGATAGTTGATACATTAAGTATTTGATTTTGAAGATAATACTATCTTTAAGATATGTCAGATCTTGGTTTTCAATCCGCTGTAATACCGACTTGGAGTCCGAGATTATGGTAGCTTTCTGTATGTCATTGTCGGTGCACCAACATAAACTTTTTTCAATGGCAACCGCTTCTGCCGTATAAATGCTACACATCTTCGACAATCGATACTGTTTAATTAAATTTTTGTTTGATACGTAAAAGGCACTGCCAACTTCGTGTTTATTTTTACTTCCATCCGTATATATTATTATTTTACTGTCTAATTGATTTATAATATTGTTAATGACGTTTTGGTTATGGGAAGGAAGATCTGTATAAGTAGGGTAAATGACAGTGGGTTTGAAAGTAACGAATTTATAACAATAATTAAATCCTGGCAAAATATTTTCTTCGATAATTTTAGTTTTTATTTGTTCTGTTTGCAAGAAGCCAGTTGTCAGGGGTGGCGAATTTTTCTTTTGCCAGTATCGATTGGACAAGTCCTCTGTGGTTAAATTACATATGTTAAATGTTAATGACGGATTGTATGTTCTCAGCTTAGTAATATATTTTTTAGCAAGATATTCTCGTCTTAAGCGTAATGGTGGTTCGTTAGCCTCCGCCAGAATTGCATCCGTTGGAGATGACCTGAATGTACCTGTACATATTCTAATAGCTTTATACTGAATTCTGTCAATTTTTTTTAGATGCGTATTTGCAGCTGAGCCGTAGTATATGCAGCCATAATCAATTATAGACCTAATGTAAGATCTATAGAATAATAATGCTATACTCGGTATTGCTCCCCATGCTTTCCCACATACACTCTTTAGAATATTGAGGCCCTTCTCAGAGCGACCTTTTACATATTCAATATGCTGTGCCCAAAGCAATTTCGGGTCCAAAACCATACCTAGATATTTATATTGGTTGACTATGGGAACAATAACTCCATCAAAATCAATATGTCTGTCTAGGTTGACTCGATGTCTAGTAAAACACATTACTGCTGATTTTTCTGGAGACATTGTAAAACCCATTTCCAATAACCAGTTTTTAACTTTTCGAAGAATTCTATGTAGATCATTAAGACATTGGCTATATTTCTTATGGCTGACATATATACATATATCATCTGCGTATTGTACTATTTTAACATTTTTCTCAAATAAGTTATGCAATTCTGACGTGTATAAATTAAAGAGGATTGGACTAAGTATTGATCCTTGCGGAATACCGTTATACACTAATCTAGGACCATACAATTCGTTATAGTGGTTTCGAACATAAATCTTTCTACCATCAAAAATTTGTAGTATACTGTAGGCTGCCTTCTTGCATAATCCAGACTTAATCATTTTTTGATATAGAATTTCCAAGTCCACAGAATCATATGCCCCTTTTAAATCTAAGAATAAACATGTTAGATATTCATTCTTTGAGAAGCTTAGTTGAATGTCTGTTATCAAGTGTGCTAATGCATCTGATGTTCCTGATCCCCTCCTATAACCAAATTGTGCTTTTGGTAAGATATATTTTTTTTCCAGAAAGAATTCTAATCGAAGTTTGATCATTCTTTCAAATGTTTTGATAATGCATGACATCAGCGAAATTGGTCGGTATGAAGAAGTCAGTGTAGGATTTTTACCAGTTTTGTGGATTAAAGTGATAACAATTTGTTTAAGTTCATTAATTATATTATGATAAATCCACCACGCATTAAATATATGTAATAATATAGTTTTAAACGACTGTGGAAGGCTGTGTAACATTTTATAAGTAAAGCCATCTAGGCCCGGACAAGTGTTTTTTGATTTTTTTAGTGAAACTTCCAATTCCTCAAAAGTAAAAAATTCTGCAATTGAATCAGTTTGTGTTAAAGTTTGTTCAAAGTTTTTGTCGAGTTCGCGTGAAACAGTTGGAGGTGCATAATAATCTAGAATTTCATTTATTGTTTCATCTGAGATTTGAGGTTTATTTTGTGAGTAGTTTTTATTACTAATGGACCTAACAGTTTTCCATACTTCAGATATTGAAGAATTTTTATTTAATTTCGTTACGTACAGCTTCCAACTGTTTCGTTGCTTTTGTTTAAAAAGTCTCTTCGTTGCCGCGGCAATGTTTTTATACTTCAAGTAATTATCTACATTCGCGTTTAAAACGTATGTTTTTAAAGCGTTTTTTCGGAGTCTTGCCATATCTGTACACTCGTTATCCCACCAATATGACTTTTTGGTATTTGGTAGAAAAGGCTTTTTAATACCCATAGTTATCTGTGCTGCTTCAGTGAAGCTGTTTACAAATATTTCGTATTTTTCTGCAGGTGTTTTTGAATTAAAGTCAATATTCTTAGCCGAATTATCCAAGATAGTTTCAAATACTATCCAATCTACTCGAGAATCATTCCATTTAGAAGATGGTAAAATTTTATGGGTAAATGCGCTAATTTCAGATGAGATAATTATCGGAAAATGATCCGATCCCATAGAATCCGAATTTACCCTCCAAGTAAGTTTATCAACTAGAGAAGGTGAAAGGATTGTAAGGTCCACTGCTGACGGATTCTGTCCGGGCAGTGAAATGCGGGTGGGAGTACCATCGTTTATTACAATCAAGTCATGGTCATCCAAAGCTTCTACTAACTCATTACCTTGAGCGTTATTATCATAACTTCCCCAAAGTGCATGATGACTGTTGAAATCGCCGCACACAATCGTCTTATTTGAAAATTGTCTAAAAATATTGCACCAGTCTTTCCGTTTGACAGCAGCTCGCGGTTGCTTATATACTGAAACTATATTTACTGACCCATGATTTACCTTAACCGCGCAAATTTCAATATCTTGACACCCCGTATTTATTATTATTTCTTCAAATTGCATGTTTTGAGATATTAGAATGGCTACACCGCCATACCCATCTTGTCTACATTTTTTAACGATGTTAAAACCCTTAATCTTAAAGTTATATGATTCTTTTAACCATGTTTCTGATAAAACAACTATATTAATGTTGAATTCATTAATTAAATTGAGTAATGAAGCTAATCGAGAGTTAACCGATTTTATGTTCCACTGCAATATGTTTATTTTTTGTTTAATATGTGTCATCATCCTCGCTATTACTACTAAGCTCCATTACAGTTACGCTATCATTATTTAGCTTATTACATGTATCTGTACACCTATTATCACAATCTAAAATTGAAGAAATTTGGTTTCTTATATTTACTTCATTTGTATCTAATTTATTATTGGCTATTTTATTAATAAATTGTACCATTTGGCATATAATTTGTTCTTTATATTGAATGTATTCATTCCTGTAGGGATTCGGTAGTACTGACTGTGCTTTTTTTGTCTCCTTTTTTGAAGTATCTGCATGTGATGGAGATGGTGAAATTGGGGGGGAAATTGTTTTTCGTTTTTTTGGCTGAGATTGATTAGTGTTCTTAGAACTAGTAGGTCTCGCGGGTTTTTTCAGTAGAAAATTCGGGTTAGTTTTCGGTTGCGGCAACTCAGGGAATAGATTCTCGTTTCCCAATAACGAGAATCTATTGTGCGTTGCTACTTTAGCATATGATAGATTTTCAACCAAAAATTGAGCTTCTTTAAAGGACAAATTTTCAAAAGCCATTACCCTTTTAATATTTAATTGTTGTTTGTAGATAGGACAATCACGCGAAACTGCGTCGTGATTTCCATCTCCACAATGTACACATTTCTTTTCATCATTTTCGCATTTATCATTACATGTTTCTCCTGCACAT